AAGAAAAAATAAATACAAAAATTAGCCTGGTGTGGTGGTGCGTACCTGTAGTCCCAGCTACTCAGGAGGCTGAAGCAGGAGGATCCCTTGAACATGGGAGGCAGAGGTTGCAGTGAGCTGAGATCTTGCCACTGCACTCCAGCCTGGCAACAGAGTGAGAGTCCGCCTCAAAATATATATATATTAGCGATTCTTAGTGTCATGTGTACTTGGTCCCAGCTACTCTGGAGGCTGAGGTGGGAGGATTGCTTAAGCCTAAAAGGTTGAGACTGCAGTGAGCTGTGATTACATCACTGGTCACTGCACTACAGCCTGGGTGACAAAGCAAGACCCTATCTCAAAAAAAAGAAAAGAAAAAGACCTTCCTTTCTGAAGTTCCTTCTACCTTCTGTCTTGATTTTATTAGAACAAAATACTTTACTGCCATCTGCTGGAAATTAACAAATATGCAAATCTACAATGTCCAGGATGTGAATATAGTACTGTCTTTGTAGATGTGAAATCCTTGTGCAGTGTACAACGTTCACATCCATACATGGAGGTCCTGTCTATCTTATATGATTGGTGTGAAGAGTAAATAAGCTAACATACTTAAAGCATTTAAACCAATACCTGGCACGGAGTATTATTTACATGTAGCTGTAGTCATCGTCATCATTTGTTGTTATTATATGCCTGTCCTTATTCTTAAGGTATTAGAGACAGCAGTGAGCATAATATATCTGTCAAGGGCTGGGGGCTGGGTCAGGAGCCAGTCCCACTACCTCTTTCCTGCAACATATTCATGTGGTCACACAGCTACCCACCCACATGGAGACCATTAAATTCTCTCTAAACCTCCAGCTGCAGAAAGATGCAAATTCAGTACTCACCAAGAGATCATTTGGGGTGTAGAAAGTGCCCATTCTTGTTTCCCTACAAATCAGGGGTAAGGAGGAGAATCAGATCTTGAAGGGAAAGAGGCTGACCCTTCCTCAAACACATCCCCTATCATGCCCCATCAATTGGCCCACCCCCATCTGCTGGCTCCACTCCCCACTCACTAGTATGTTCACAAGGTCCACAAATAAGTAAAAAGGCTCCCTCCAGCAGAGGGGCATTCCTAGGCCCTTCCAGGGCTGCACAAGCAGGAGGATGATCCACAGAGGCAACATGGACACCTTGCTTATTCCCAGGCCTTCTCTGGTGCTTAGCCTGGGGTTCTGGAAACGAAAGGTACAGGAAGGGGAAGCAGACTGGAAGGCTGAAGTGAATGAGGGGAACTCTCCTCCACCCCCATCCCATCCCCTGCTTGCTCCACTCAAGTCATAGATAATTCAGGGAGTGTGTGCATAAAGGCTGGGGAAAGATGGTGACCCCAGAGTCAGGAGGGCTAAGGTCAGAGGACTCTCTGACTCCCAGGCTTACGGAAGATAGGCGACTAAGCAAGGTGTGAAGCTCAACCTGAAGAGACTGGAGAACCTGAACTCCCCTGTCCAACAGGCCCAAAGGTGGTACAGGTTAGGCTGGGCGTGGTGGCTCACTCCTGTAATCCTCCCAGGATCAAGCAATTCTCCTGCCTCAGCCTCCCGTGTAGCTGGGATTACAGGCACCCGCCACCATGCCCGGCTAATTTTTGTATTCTTACTAGAGACAAGGTTTCACCATGTTGGCCAGGCTGGTCTCAAATCCTGGGCTAAAGTGATCCTCTCACCTTGGCCTCCCAAAGTGCTGGGATTACAGGCATGAGCCACTGTACCTGGCCTCTGTCTCAAGTATTTTGGAAACTTCGTGCTTGTCCTTTTTTGTCTGCGGATTGGTCTCTCTTCCTCTAAATCTGTCACTGGGCATGTTTATGGGGTCTGTCTCTTGACTGTCCCGGTCTCTTCCTTTTCTCCTCCTCTTCTCTCTTGGCCCCTTCATCTCTCTGTCCTCCACATGTGCCTACATTTCTCTGGGCTACGTCTCTGTGTCCCTCTGGGTCAGCCTCTCTTCCTCCCTCCCTCCCCACAGCCTCTCCCGCTCACCCTTTTAGAGCGGGACTCTGGGCTGGATGTTCCATCTGGCCCCAGACCTGCCCTCCAGTGTCTCCCTGTCTCCACCCTCTTTGGCAAGGTGACCCTGTACTGCCAGAGAAACTGAGGCAACTGTGGGCTCCCTCTAGCCCTGAGAGAGGACCCTCTTGACTGGGGAGACTCCTGGTGAAGAAAGAGGCAGGGACATCTGCTGGGGAGCCGGGGGACATCCCAATCCTGGGGTTCCTAAGATGGGGTTGTGGGGCTGGGAATGGAGAATTCTGTGGGGAGGAGGCCTAGTGGAGGGTGACTTGGGGGAGCAGAAAGAGATGGCTGGGAAATTCTAGAGAAAGAGAGTCTAGGGGCCAGGTATGGTGGCTCATGCCTGTAATCCCAGCACTTTGAGAGGCTGAAGCAAGTGGATGACTTGAGGTCAGGAGTTCGAAACCAATCTAGCCAACATGATGAAACCTTGTCTCTACTAAAAATACAAAAATTAAAAAAATAAAAAATAAATACAAAAATTAGCTGGGTGTGGTGGTGCATGCCTGTAATCCCACCTACTTGGGAGGCTGAGGCAGGAGAATTGCTTGAACCCGGAGGCAGAGGTTGCAGTGAGCAGAGATCATGCCACTGCACTCCAGCCTGGGAGATGGAGGGGGACTCCATCTCAAGAAAAAAAGAGATTCTAGGGTGGGGACCTGGAAGAGGTGAATTCTTGGGGTAGGGTCTATGAGGAGAGGGGAATTCTAAGGAGAGGAAAACTCCAGGGGAGGCAATTGCTGGAGAGAGGAGTCTTGGAAGGGAAATAAATTCAGGAGAAAGGCAGATTTTGAGGGATTGGTCTCTGAGAGAGATTTTGTGGATTTGCGGGGTGGGGTGTTCTGGGAAAGGGGCATTTGCCGGGAAGGGAGATTCTGAAGGAGGGAGATTCCAGAGGTACTGGGTCCTGACAAGAGGAAGATTCTGGGAAGGGTGACTGAGGGGACGAGGACCGAGTGGAGGGAGATTCAAGGAAAAGGGGGGGTCTAAGCTGAGGGCTCTGAAGAGGGGCATTTGGGGTGGCCTTCTGAGAGGATTATGGGAAGAGCATTCTGGGAAGAGCATTCTGGGAAGAGGAGAGTGAAAGGAAAGAAATTTTGGTGAAAGGGAGATTCTGGGGGGAGAGGCCCTGAGGGGGAAAGGATTCTGGAAGAGGATCTCGAAGGAGAGGGATTCTAGGGAGGACAGGATTCTGGGAATCCTAAGTCTGAGAATCCAGCCAGATTCCTTAGGGTAGATTCCAAAGGAAAGATTCTGATGGCGGAGGATTCGGGGAGGAGGGAGCCCAGAAGAGAGAAAGAGTACAGGTGGTGGGAGGGTGGGAACTGATTTACAGAAGGGGCGAAGGGAGATTATTAAAGGACCAGAACGCGAAGGAGAGCTGCGGCAATCCCCGACTGCAGAGGACGCGAAGCACATTCCCTCAGCATTCCCCTCAGTCCACACACGACCCTCCCAAGGCCCGCCTCTTTCGCCCACAGGGCTTGTCCTTTCCGCCTCACAGGGCCCGCCCCCTCAGCGCCTAAGTGCCTTCCCACCGCAGATTAGACGCCTCGCCTCTTAGCCGCAACAGAAGCCGTAAAGCTCTCTCTCCTCGCGACACAGCGCTCCAGGCGCCTGCGCAGACCCTGAAAACCGGCCAGGGTGGCCCCGAGCTTTCCTTTTCCGGTTGCGGCGCCGCGCGGTGAGGTTGTCTAGTCCACGTTCACAGCCATGCCGTCCAAGGGTCCGCTGCAGTCCGTGCAGGTCTTCGGACGCAAGGTGAGCCAGACGTCGGATGGGAAGGGGAGGGAAAGGTGAAGGCCGGGGTCTGGGAGAGGCCAGTGGGCAGGAAGCTAAGGGGGAACATGGGAGCTGGAGTCCGAGCTCACGCGGCCCCGCTTTCTCTTGTGTTCCACAGAAGACAGCTACAGCTGTTGCGCACTGCAAACGCGGCAATGGCCTCATCAAGGTGAACGGGCGGCCCCTGGAGATGATCGAGCCGCGTACCCTCCAATACAAGGTGCTGGGATCAGGCACGGGCATTGAGTGGAGGGAGGAGTCTTGGAGACGAGATGGAGCTGTTGAAAACTGAGGGCTGGTATTAACAATGGGATGTTGAAGCTGTGTTGGGTGTAGAAAAGTGGGGTATTTGGTAATAGAGCTGGGCTTTGGTTCAGAAGATGTAAAAGTTGAGATGGGGAGGTTGAAGATTAAGGGTTTGCCTTGAAAACTGGGGTGTTTGGAAGATCACCGAACTGGGGTGGACCTAAAGGGTGGGGGGACATCGGCTTCTTAGTTTTATTTTCACAAGGATCAATGTTTTGATTCTGATAAATCCCAAATGTCTAAAGCAGGGTTTAGACATTGTAAGTGCTCAGTATGTACTAAAATAGCTTGAATTTCATTTGCTTTTTTGAGACGGAGTTTCGCTCTGTCGCCCAGGCTGGAGGGCAATGGCTGGAGTGCATTGGCGCGCTCTTGGCTCACGGTAACCTCCACCTCCTGGGTTCAAGCAATTCTCCTGCCCCGACCTCCCTGGTAGCTGGAAGTACGGGTGCACACCACCACACCCGGCTAATTTTTGTGTTTTTAGCAGAGATGGGGTTTCACTATGTTGGCCAGGCTGGTCTAGAGCTCTTGGCCTCAGGTTATCCACCCGCCTCAGCCTCTCAGAGTGTTGGGATTACAGGCGTGAGCCACTGCGCCCGGCCAAATTTGGGCTTGTTTAAATGCTTGCTTATGAAAGGGGTTCCTCTGCTACTTTTCCCTTCTCTGACTCTGTAGAGGGGCTTGCAGTGACAGCCTGATCCCCATCCTCTAGGATTACTTTGATGCCAGTGGTGGCAGAAGCCACAGAAGCAAGGGGAAGCCCAGTGAGATGGCTGAGCTGCGCAGCATGTAACTTAAATTCATTCCTCCTGTGCCTTTAGTTGCTGGAGCCAGTTCTGCTTCTCGGCAAGGAGCGATTTGCTGGTGTGGATATCCGGGTCCGTGTGAAGGGTGGTGGTCACGTGGCCCAGATTTATGGTGAGTCCTATGAACTGGGCGCCGGAGGGAGGTGGCTCTGGGAGGGAGGCCTTCAGAAAGCTCCCGTACCCTTTAACTTTGTGTCTTCCTCACAGCTATCCGTCAGTCCATCTCCAAAGCCCTGGTGGCCTATTACCAGAAATGTGAGTGAGCATGGGTCCTTCCCATGAGGTGGGTGGGTATGTAGGGATCAAGTCAAGGACTCTGCTTATCTAAACCTTCATCATCCCTACTCTTCTCTCTAGATGTGGATGAAGCTTCCAAGAAGGAGATCAAAGACATCCTCATCCAGTATGACCGGACCCTGCTGGTAGCTGATCCCCGGCGCTGTGAATCCAAAAAGTTTGGAGGCCCTGGTGCCCGTGCTCGCTACCAGAAATCCTACCGATAAGCGCATCCTGATGATCAAAGTTCACCTGTATAATAAAGTTCTTGAGGGATTTTACTGTTTCAAGAACTGCCTGTGGCTTTATGTTGGTAGTGCATGTTTAACCAGACAGAATGCAGAAAACATTCTCGACTTACTGCCAGTCTGGATTTTAACCCTACCCAGAAGTGGTCACACTGGGCTTGGTGTGGATGGGTGAGGCAGAAGGTAGGGGGTCTCTGTCTCTACACCTCCAGTAGAGAGTCCAGTGTGCAAACACAGCTGAGGTGGCAGTGGTTTGGGGCCACTGGTGGCTATAGGCTTTGGTGGATATATGGGTCATTCCCGTATATCACCCATATGGGTGTCTGTTTTTTCAATCCATTTACTGTGTCATAATGGCATATTGGGAAAGAACAGGAAATGTGTAAGATAAATCTTTATGATGAAACAGGGTCTCATTCTTTACCCCAGGCTACAGTGCAGAGGTACAGTCACTAACTGGCCTTGAATTCCTGGGCTCAAAGGATCTTCCTGCCTCAGCTGTGACTCCAGGTTTGGTTTTTGTTTTTCTGGAGACAGTCTTGCACTGTCGCCCAGGCTGGAGTGCAATGGTGCGATCTCTGCTCACTGCTACCTCCGCCTCCCTGGTCCAAATGATTCTCCTGCCTCAGTCTCCCAAGTAGCTGGGATTATAGGTGCCCACCACCACGCCAGGCTAATACTGTATTTTTAGTAGAGATGGGCTTTTGCCATGGGGACCGGGGTCTGCTGGCTGGTAGAAGAGTAGCCAGAGAGGTCATGTCTCTAGTGAGTTTTCGGGTGCTTATTGCCTCAACTTGCTCATTTGCTTCCTTTGAACACCTGTGCTGGGCCATGTGCTCATCTTGGGGCCCTGGGTGACCGCAGCCCTCTTCCCCCTCCCAGGGAGTCACAGATGAGGGGAGGGTTGCTGCCCATGCTGGAGGAGGAGTTGGGCTTCCAAGCACAGTGCATCCTCAGCGTCTTGTATAGGTGCTTGGAAACGGACTTAAGCAAAACAAGCAGATGCTGGAATAAGAGTCCTTAACATTGTTTAAATATTGGTTTCCGTATGCATCCTTTCCCCTAAGGTCACAGTTTCCAAGAACCTATTGATGACGTTAAGTGAGGGCTTGTGGGGTGGCTAATAACTCAAGAAGCTAGTGAACTTAATTGAGGAATGCAGTGATTCCTAGTTCCTAGTTCTCTACAGCCAATAGGGAAGTCCTCTTAAATGCTGACGATGGGGCCGGTCCCGGTGGCTCAGGCCTGTAATCCCAGCACTTTGGGAGGCCGAGGTGGGTGAACCACCTGAGGTCAGGAATTCGAGACCAGCCTGACCAATATGGTGAAACCCCATCTCTCTACTAAAAATACAAAAATTAGCTGAGTGTGGTGGTATGTGCCTATGGTGCCAGCTACTCAGGAGGCTGAGACAGCAGAATTGCTCAAACCCCAGAGGCAGAGGTTTCACTGAGCCGAGATCGTCCCACTGCACTCCAGCCAGGGTGACAGAGCAAGACTCCTCCAAAAAAAAAAGGGAGTGGGTTCACTGAGCATCTAGTAGGTGGTCGTTGGTATCCACATCCCTGTGACGTTGGTGACACAGGATGGGAAAGCTACCCTAGTGGCAAAATAATGTTCTGCAGCTCGCCAAGTTTTGCATTGCAGCCAGTTAACTCGGGTTAACTGGGTTTAGCTGGCATTAACCTAAATATCCCGGAGAGGGCATCGGGCACCACCCTTGTCCTTTCAGAGCCCGGTTTAGCTGCAGCTCTGAAGAGGACTGGGCTCAGAACCAAGGTAGGCCGGCAGGAAAGGTATTCCTGAGGGGGCGACAGAGCTGGGGCCACGAAGCAGCAGTAGGAGTTGGGCGGGAGGGAGGAATGGAATTCACAGACACCAGGAGGAGGTGCGGAGGCAGGCCTGGAGCCCATGGTTTTCTCAGGGGGTCCAGAGACCCCCCTTATTGAAGCTCCTGGCTCTTTCCAAGAGGCACAGCTGGGACACATCTGGACAGGAAAGGGGGCTCACCTCTCCTTCCCAGCTCCTGGTCTTTTAGTAGACAGGCCCCTTCTCCCTCCCTGCCTCCTCGAATACCGGGAATTCCGACCACACTGGGAGCCCAGGCCAGGCCGAGAGCTTTCCTTCAGCTGGGAATGTGCAGCTGGGGCGGAGGAGGGGAGCGCCGGCTGTGGTCCTGACCTTGGGGAGGCTGCAGTGGAGTGGATCACTCCAGGCTGAGGAGTTCACCTCCGCCACCACGGGGCCCCCGGGACGCAGCCCCAGCCCTGGCGGACAGTAGCCAGTCAATAAACAGTAAGTGAGCAGAAGCCAGCAGCTAGCATTTATTGAGCCAGGCCCTGCGCTGGCAACTGTACTCAGCTCATTATCAGAATCCCTGGGGCGTGCACAGCACCAGGCCACAAGCCTCATGCGGGCAAGGCAGTGTTCTCTCTTGTATCCCCACTGGCAAGAAAAGTACCTGGCACAGGACACGCACTTTTATTTATGCATTTTATTTTATTTTTTTGAGATGGAGTTTTGCTCATCTCCCAGGCTGGAATGCAGTGGGCGATCTCCACTCACTGCAACCTCCACCTTCCAGGTTCAAGTGCTTCTCCTGGCTCAGCCTCCCGAGTAGTTGGGATTACAGGTGGCTGCCACCATGCCCGGCTTATATTTTGTATTTTTAGTAGAGATGGGTTTTCACCATGTTGGCCAGGCTGGTCTCAAATTCCTCACCTCAAGCGATCCACCTGCCTCGGCCTCACAAAGTGTTGGGATTACAGGTGGAGCCACTTCGCCTGACCAGGACAGGCAAATTTAATAGTAGACTTGAGCCAGGCTGTGTGGATTTGAGTCTCAGTGCTGTACCTTCCTAGCCGTGTGACTAGGCAAATCCCTTAGCCTCTCTGTGCCTGCCTCAGTTTCCTCACCTTTTTTTTTTTTTTATATGGGGTTTCGCTCTTGTTACCCAGGCTGGAGTGCAATGGTGCGATCTCGGCTCACCGAAACCTCTGCCTCTTGGGTTCAGGCAATTCTCCTGCTTCAGCCTCCTGAGTAGCTGGGATTACAGGCACGCGCCACCATGCCCAGCTAATGTTTTGTATTTTTAGTAGAGACGGGGTTTCACCATGTTGACCAGGGTGGTCTCCATCTCTTGACCTCGTGATCCACCCGCCTCGGCCTCCCAAAGTGCTGGGATTACAGGCGTGAGCCACCACGCCCGGCCCAGTTTCCTCACCTTTAGACTGAGGATTAAAAAACATGTTCGGCCGGGCGCGGTGGCTCATGTCTGTAATCCCAGCACTTTGGGAGGCCAAGGTGGGTGGATCACCTGAGGTCAGGAGTTCCAAACCAGCCTGGCTAACATGGTGAAATCTCGTCTATACTAAAAATACAAAAATTAGCTGGGTGTGGGGGTGGGCACCTGTAAGGAAGCTGAGCAGGAGAATTGCTTGAACCTGGGAGGTGGAGGTTGTAGTGAACCAAGATCACGCCATTGCACTCCAGCCTGGGTGACAGGAACTAAACTCTGTATCCAAAAAAAAAAAAAAAAAAAAAAAATTCAGATTCCCAGCCAGGAATGAATGATGACTCACACCTGTAATCCCAGCACTTTGGGAGGCCAAGGTGGCCAGATCACTTGAGGTCAGGAGTCCGAGACTAGCCTGACCCACATGGCAAAACCCCATCTTTACTAAAATTACAAAAATTAGCTGGGCATCGTGGTGCACGCCTGTAATCTCAGCTACATCTGGAGGCTGAGGCATGAGAATTGCTTGAACCCAAGATGGAGGTTACAATGAGCTAAGATCATGCCACTGCACTCAGCCTGGGCGAAAGCGTGAAACTCTGTCACTGGGCATGGTGGCGCGTGCCTGTAGTCCCAGCCACTCAGGAGGCTGAGGTGGGAGGATCTCTTGAGCTCTGGAGTTCTGGGCTGTTGTGGGCTATGCCAACTGGGTGTCTACACTAAGTTCAGCATCAATATGGTGACCTCTCGGGAGTGGGGGACCACCAGGTTGCCTCAGGAGGGGTGAAGTAGCCCAGGTTGGAAATGGAACAGGTCAAAACTCCCTTGCTGATCAGTAGTGGGATCCCGCCTGTGAATAGCCATTGCGCTCCAGCCTGGGCAACATAGGGAGACCCTGTCTCTTAAAAAAAAAAAAAAAAAAAAAAAGGCCGGGTGTGGCAGCTGGCGCCTGTAATCCAAGCACTTTGGAGGCCAAGGCGGGCGAATCACCTGAGGTCGGGAGTTCAAGACCAGCCTGACCAACATGGTGAAACCCCGTCTTAAAAAAAAAAAGAGTGAAACTCGTCTCAAAAAAAAAAAAAAAAATCAGATTCTCAGGCTCGTGCCCTGGGGTCCAGATTCAATAGGTTCGGACTAGATCCCGTGATTTTGAGTGATGCTCCTTAGCAAGTCAGGGTTTCAAACCTATTTGGAAAGTGGGAGGATATGCTCCCTAAATCCTCTCAATGATCCCAGGAGGCAGGTACTGTTGTCTTCATTTCATAAATGAGAAAACTGGCTCAGAGGGAGGGCGCACACCAAATAAGTAAAGGTGGGACTTGAATCCATAGCCAGGACACCAAGGTGCTTCAGAGAATCCCAAGGGAGTTTAAATAATGTGCTAAAGCACAAGAGGTGGCTGGGTGTGGTGGCTCACGCCTGTAATCCCAGCACTTTGGGAGGCCAAGGCGGGTGGATCACGAGGTCAGGAGTTCGAGACTAGCCTGGCCAACATGGTGAAACCCCATCTCTACTAAAAGTATAAAAGTTAGTTGGGCATGGTGGCGGGTGCCTGTAATCCCAGTTACTCGGGGGGCTGAGACAGGAGAATCACTTGAACCCTGAGCCCAGGAGGTGCAAGTTTTGGTGAACGGAGATTGTGCCACTGCACTCCAGCCTGGGAGACAGAGTAAGACTGTTTCAAAAAAAAAAAAAAAAAGAAAAAAAGAACGAAGCACAAGAGGTTAAGTATTTGATATTTGATGAAAGCAGCTAATATCATCACCAAAGAAACTGCTTAAATTGTGCCACTCACTGGGCGTGCCACTCA